GCTGAAGACAGTCTCCACAATTACTTCATCAAACTGTTTAAAAGCTTTAATTTAAATGCTAAGAGAAAAGAACATTTTATTTTACCCTTTCCTCAGGCATATTATATGAGTTAAAGCAGAGAGAGGTACAGCATAAACAACTCATCTAATATTGGAAGGGCAATACCTACATTTATAGAGTTTTTTGGTTGGGTTGACCTTAATAGGTCCTGTATTTATGCGTGTATGCATAGATGTATACCCATCTCTTACAACTTTATTGTATCTCGATATTCCTGAACAGGTATTTATGGTAAAAAAAACGATCCGACCTTAAGAAATGTCTGAAAAAAGAAAATAAGATGTGACCCTCAACTCTTTTCCTGTGTAGTAAACAAGCCTGACTTGAGAGGGGTCAGATTGTTTGCATGCAGGCTGTATACAAGCACATGGTCCCAACAGGAGCCTGCTTAAATAAGACGCAAAAGAGGAAGGATCTCTAACAAACCTGGTCGTGTTTCAGCTACAACAGGATCAGTGGCATCCGATGGTTTCCCAACACCTGCTTGGTTTGTTGCCCGCACACGGAACACGTAGCTCACACCTTCCTTGAGGCCACCTATCTGGAGGATGCAAACATAGGAGCATGATTTGCTACAAGACGCTGACACTAGCTTCTCATCTCTTACAATACCAGTTTGGATACCTGACAATTACATTTTCTTTCTCTTTTGCTTTCCTCCCTTTCTAATTTAAAAATATTTCTTCCTCATATTTTTTCTTTTTGTTTCAATTCTAGAGTGACATGACTAATTTGTTTGGCTTGTTCCTTCCTTGTATGCATAGTTAACATTTAGACAGTGTCATAACTGTTATTCATTTCTTTGAAAAGGAACATTATCAACGGAACAGGATGTTTTTTAATTTATGCCTGCTGACCTCTGAAACAGTATAGCCTTTTACTGCACGTCAATTCTGGCATTTAAAAATAAAATTCTTGGGGAAAAAGTGCTTGCCACCCCAATTTATAAAAAGGACGCTCTTTATTTAATAGTGATTATTTGAGCAATCATACTGAATTTAAATACTTGCAAGTATCCTTTTAAAATGTATGAAAGGATAAGACCTTAAAGTGAACATCTTTAAAATTATCTGAAAAGCATAAAAATAGCAAACCTACTTCAGCTGATCCCTTCTTGAGAAGTCATTCAAAAAATGATTTATCACAATAATGCAAAAAAATGCTTTAACTTGTAGTGAAATGCGAATAAAAGGTACTATATGTTAGAAAGATTCTTCTGCCACCTTGTCACAGCTTTTTTTGTTGTCGTTGTTTTGTTTTTTGATGCCTGTATTGTGATGCCTGCATTCCACTTCGGGCTATTAAAAGCTAGGAATGTCTCCTATGTTATAGGAACAATATTTGGTTTTAGTATTGCTTGCTTTTATTTTTAGGTTTGTTTTGCCAGATTCTCTTCCAAGTTACAGTCTCATCTGACTGTACTAGCATTATACGGGTGTGTTCTAGGCACAACATAACCTACTAAGTGTTTAATCATATGGGAATTTGATCAAAATTCAATGGTATATGTAATATTGACTTCCTTGGGGTTACACTGTTAGACCTGTGTTTGAATCTTAAACTGTTGTACCTTCAAATATCTCTTTTGAAGTGGCTTCTCATTGACACTTCTCCAGTGTTCCTCCGTTGCTTCAGTTTCCTTTAGATCAACGTAATAACCAGCTATAGGACTACGACCAGTATAAACTGGTTCCTTCCACAATAAAACCAAGGAATCTTTCCTAATTTCTATGCATTCAAGATCATGAGGTGGCCCTGAAAGGCAAGAACAAAAGTTACAGTTGTGGTTACTAAATAAAGCCCAAAGGGGTTAATGCATAAGACTTCAAAAATCCAAATGAAGCACCACATTCTATATTCAGAGCTGATATAACAGGTGCAGTTCTATTGTGTCACATCTAGAACAGGTATAAATACAACCCATAGTTATTAAAAAGGCCCAACAAACAATCCCATTTTTTGAGATTTGGTATCTTGATCAAATATTCATTAACAAACAAAAATGACAAATAATCTCCAACGTCAGGGAGATAAGTTAATTATTAAGCTAATATGCTGCTTCAAGGCCTGTTCTAAAGTCCACTGAAGGCAATGGAGTTTGTTTTCATTTATTCCTATGAGTGTTAAAAGGCAAGTGGTCCGGCCTTGCAGTGATATGTTTAGTCAAGGGTTATAGGGCCTCAATCTTCCCTTTGGTGTACCTTAGACAGGCATTTATACCTGCAATTTAAACTGGGAAGCTCAGCTGGGATGACTGACACAGTACAGAAGTCAAGCAGGGAAGATAAAGAAAACACAAGGTGCTTGTAAAATATTACCAGTTAAAGGGGGGTTGTTTAATGCATCTGTATAAATATAATAAATCACAGGGAGAGAGATACAAGCGTGCATATGAACTTTGTTGTCCACTGATTCCTGAACATTGTGGGCATTGGGAACATACGGTTTTGGGTTCAGAGCATCCTGTGGCTGTGATTAGTCACATCACTCTCTGATCCTACCTGGTACAGCAATGGTCCATTCTTCACATTTGAAGGATTTACTGGGTGGGGAAGGTGTCCCTACCCCAGCCAGGTTAGCAGCAGCAACTTGGAACTGGTAAACCATATTTTCCTTCAGGTTTTGAATCTGTGAAATCAAGAAAATTTACCTATTGACTTGGGATTAAAGTTCTAGGAGGAAGCCACAATGCCAATTATTCAAAATAAGAGCATGCTTTTAAATGCCTGAAAAAAAGGAAAAGTTTATTAAAATCATATATAAATTGACAGTTATTTTGGCTTTCCCTCTAATCAATGGTAGAACATATGTGAATTTTCTTAGCATGGACAAATTGTAAAACACTTCTCTTACTGATAGACACGTTGGTAGTTAGGGAGGAAACAGTATTGCTAAACAACACATATATGAATCTGTTTTGTGATCCACAGCAACTTGGCTTGAGGCAAAACTTGTTCTTGTAGCGTGGTGAAAAACATAGCACACACCTTGCACTGCTTTTGTATAGCTGCTTCACGAGGTTATAGCTACGCTGTATCTCTAAAATGGATTAAGAACAAATCAGAAGATCCAGCAGGCCCAGACCTGCTTACAGCACCAGTGAGCAGCAGCAAGGTCCAACATGCCTGGTGGCAAGGCCATTAGTTGTGAGGGCCTCACTTATGAAAATGTAAATTACGACTGGAGGAAAGAATTCACAGCTGATGGTTGGTTGTAATTCACAACAGAAAAACAAATCCACATAAAATGTAGTACAGACAGTTAACTGAATTCAACAAATACATCAGTAGAAAAGAGAGGTGCATCAAAGACAAATGTGTTTAGCAGGAGGACCTATTATGGAAAGGCAGCAAAAGGCCAGACATTGCATGAACCTGTACACAACTCCTCTGCATCCTCTAAATATGGACATGTACTTTTCATCACTTTGAGACATAAACACTACCAACAAAGCAAGTAAAACAACGTAGCATGGCCCTGCACTACAAAATTTGTTCAGCACCCCACCTAGCCTAACGTATTAACCAGAAGGCTTCTGAGATCTCAGATACTAATGTAATAATGTCTACCACTTATAGCAAAGATTCTTCAAAAAAAAAAATCTTCCTCCTAATATGGCTTTGAGATCTGTTTTGGAAATACTGTTCACATAATTGCCAAAAGCAATAACAAAGGTTAACTTCTTACCCTGTATGCCCTCTCACTAACGGGCTTAATGTTGGCCTCCATCCATTTCCCAGGAACTCCACCAATTACTTCACGATAGTTCACATAGTAGCCAGTAATTTCAGTTCCACCAGTGATTTTAGGTTGTTTCCATCCCAGTACCATTGAGTCACGAACACTCTCAAGTACCGTTATGTCATAAGGTGGAGATGGAGCAGCTGTTTCAACATGAATAACACATAAATAGGAAGCAGTATTGGATTAGTAAGACAGGCATTCAGTTATTGTATCCAGGTAGCCCCATCCTGCATTTCCTAATCAGGAAAGCAGCTCGGTGCGGTCAAGAAAAATTCTGCTGGAATAAGAAACGCAGGATAGAAGCTTCCATCAACCAAATGGAGAAGAAGAGGGAAAAAAAAATCAAACTACATTGGATTTAATTTTCAAGATCATTTGTCTTTCAAAAAACAAGCCGACACATAGTGAAAAAATGTGTTGCAATTGCAGCGCTCATGTAAGTGATCAAGATTTATTTTAACATTGTGAAGAATGAGGAAATAAAATTGACATGAAAATAAAAATTGGTGATGCAATGATTTGTTTTCTTTTGATGAAAGAAAACTATTTTTCACACATGCAATATTTGTTTTAGTTCCTTTTCTTTTATAAGCCCACATTCTTCCATTCCCAGAATGCGGGTTATCTGCTCATTCTTTCTTTATTATTATTATTATTATTATTTTAAAATTCATACACTGTTCAAACATTATCATTGCACCCTTCATATTATCTTACCTTAATGGAAGGAAGCATGACCATAGCCACTGATCAGATATGGAATATGCCTGTTACTGGAGCTTACTTTAAAAGAAAAATGCAGTACAATCCGCCTTTTTATTATGTTTTAACAGTACAGAAATCATGAATCTCATCCTAAGAACTACACCCATTTTCTTCTAATGACATTTCTATATCAGGTTTTGTTACCTTCACATATACATAATGCAGAGAGTAGGCATTCGAGAACAAATTACTGAAGTAATTAAGAAACCATACATTATTTTGGATACATTAATATGTAATCAAACAAGCTATATAATTAGTAAATGGATGACAATGTTTCATTGTCAATAGCCACTATGTATGTGTAGTGGCCTCTCATACCATTACATGCATAATGATCTTAATGGAGAGCTGAGCATATAATTAATGGCTCTGATGGAAAATGCATTATTGAAAAAAATGTTCACGTGTGACATGGATGAGCAGAGGTTACATATGTCCGAAGTAAATGTACCAAAGCAGTGAAATTTAATTATTTTATTAACTCTCACCTATATCTTTCTTCTCTTTCACCTTTTCCAGTGTCAAAGGATCCCCGGGTCGAGACTTACTTGCCTGCTTAGCAGCAACATTTTGTGGTGCAGATGTGGTAGCATCCTTAACCATTTCTCTCATGTAATTGTCTCCTGTGTTCCTCAGTTTGTCAGAGCTACTGGGTAGTGTGTCTCTATTACATTTAGCGTTGCATTTTAGCAAAGCATCTGTGTCAAAGATAGGCTGGGAGGACTCATGCATGCCATCCCAACTGGTAGTGCAGTCTGTTAGTCCACCAGCTTTACCACTCAGTTCAGGACACACACCATGAAGCAATCCTCCCCCTATAATTGCCAGAAAACAGCAAAGACAAGTTAAATTAGAAGGCATTGCTTTTTCTTCACTTGCTCAACAAAATTAAGAAAGGCACACAATGAACAACACAGGCAAAATATAACAAATCACATTTTTTATGGACAGAATGCAAAGCTTGGATTCACAAACATGCATAGAATACCTCTCAACCTCCTCACAAGTAATGTCCTTTTAATACTCTCTATTTTTCTAAGCAGAAGAAACATGGAATGTTAATAATAATCTTCACTTGGTATGTTTATTTTAGCATTAACTCTTCCAGGCTGTATTTATACCAATATCACAAAAATTGCCTTTGGGCCACATCTTCCTACTCTAAGGTTGTGAGATATGCAAGTTTGATACAAACAAGAGTGAGGGTGTTGCAGACATACAATTTGTCTTAGTCCAATGACCTCATTAATCTTACAGATTAGTTCAGGCAGTGGCAAACAGAAATAATTCATCCACAAGGGCAGAACACACAGAGTTATAAAAGGCTTACAAAAAAAAAAGCATTGCAGCATTTGTTATTAGGTTGAGGCATGGGAACAGAGCTCTTAGGAATTGCCTTTATATAGGATGGTGTGTATTAGAGATTGATAAATACCACATTATGGAATCAGAATGGCATTCCATTTTCCAGGATAACTGTGAAGGGAACTTGGCAGTGCTCTCTTACAGTTGTTCACAAGAAACACCTGAAGAAGACTGGATGGTGAAGGTGAACCGTCTACAGAAGCGCAGTGACTGTGAAAGTATGGCTGTGAGGCATTACATATGATCTACGAGTAGATCATTATTTGTGGACAGCATTGTAAAACCAAATAATTAGTTAGAAATAATTGCTAAAACCATCTTTACTGTAAAAAAGCATATTCAGCACTGAATGGAGCTTACCAATGGCTGCTTGCACTTCTATAGGCTCTGATTCCTGTGAAAATTCACTGAGTCCAGCTGCATTAACAGCTCTGACTCGGAAAACGTACTTCTCACCAGTGACAAGCCCATGGCAAATGAATCTAAAACAAAACAGTAGAAGAATACTCAGATTAAAAAAAAATGACATAAGCACTGAAATGATGGTAAGACAGTGCAGGATGTACCTAAGCAGTTCATTCACACAAATAAGATAATGACTAAAACCATGTTTCCTTAGACACAACTTTTTTTCTCCTGTACGCATTTCCAACTAAGACTGCAAGAATTCATGTGTTCTTAGCGGGTCTATCTTCTGCTCAGTGCTGGAATGCAAAATCATACTTCCCAATGGGAACAATGCAGAAATCTGTAGCGACTATATGCACATATATATGCATATATATTCATACACACACAGAGACATATTATATATGTATGTATATATAACAGATGTATTTGCTTGTGGTATACCTTCATGACATAGCTGAAAGTTCATTAATTTTACTTACAATTATAAATGATAAATATAGCTTTCACAAAAATCACCATGCATTGTAAAAGAGCAAAAAATAAAGCGTCACATTATTAACTTCACTTTCTTGCTTACGGATACAACACAATAATCTTAGTTGGTCTTCTACCAGAATATTTTTTTCTGTGGGATTACATTATGATTACACAAAAAAAAATCATAAATTACACCAGCACTGAGAACTGTATTTTATTTCATTATGTCACACTCTGCACTACCGGTGGTAGTACAATGGTGTACAAATCAAGAATAAAAAGAAAATATTTTTCCCTAAAAACTGATTTTGAAGTATAAAATCCTGAATTTTGAAATCCTGAATCCTGAATGAAATTTTCAGAGTAGAATTTTCAGTGGCCATGCTACAAGTTTTTTTTCAAAGCACCTTTTTGCTGGGTATGTACAGAAAATAAAATAAAACATCAAAATTTACTCCATAATGCAAACAACATGCTACAGCTAATGTTTTGATTGATTTAACCAGAAAAATCAATATTTAATATGATTTAACAGACAGCTTGTGCATGCCCCTATCATAAATTAGATGCATAGATAAAAAATGTGGTAATAGAAACCTAAACAGTGTAATTCAGCACTTTGTTTTAGGCTGAATAATGATCATGTTTTCAAATCTTGAAATAATTACAAAGTACTAAACTCTACCAACGTTTTATTTAATCACAGTATAAATCAGGGAAATATGTGTGAAAGTATATAATAATGCCAAGCACAGCATCTGCAATTATATGCGCAAAATACTTGAATGGAATTGTCACAGATGTGATCAAGAGGGTTTTTTTTTAGGTGCTCCTGATACTTTCAGCATTTAAAATGCACTTCTAAACAAAGGAGTTGGTCCAACAATTTTTAGCAGAGATGTATTTGTTGCAATAAAAGCAAACATGGATAGTAATCACAAATAACCATAATCAGTCATAACAAACAAGGGCTGCTTCTGCAGTTGACATCAGTACCTTGGGTTCAAGTTCCAAAATTACTCCTGTAGACTCTAAAACTGAAATCCTTCCTCGAAGAAAACTCTCATTTGCCCTCACTTGATTTAGCTAGCAGAGGTTTAAATATGGTTTAATTTTTCTGAGATTGATTTTCTTGTCAGTAAGAAAAATGCGCTCATATGCAATATTTAAGTGTTCGTTAGTATCATTATAATCGCAAATGGTGGAGCAATTAGCAAGTAATATTGTTAGACTGATACAGTCCAAATTTCCTCCTGACACTCTTAATATACAGTTGTACAACAATCTTCCAAATGAAAGACTTGGCCTCATGCAGTTTAGTTTTACTCAATGTAAGTTCACTCATTCCTCACTGTACTGTTTTTTCTCAGACTGATAGGCTATGAAATGGCTAGAAATAGTGAACAGGTTCTCTTTTCCTTCCTGCCAACATCCACGTTTTTTCCCCACTGAGTAATTGTTTTTTAATAAAAAGCTGATCATAATTTCCTTTCGGACAACAATTAGATTTTGAAATATGTCTTCATAACATCTTAAGAACTTCACCTTGAAAAAGTGTTTCCAGCCTTCGGGCTACAACAGAGCAATTACTACTACCATTACTACTAATGGCTGGAAAGCACACCAGCCACTAAATCACAAAACCTGTGATCATAATTTCCATTCTTTAAATCTATCACCTTGTGCCTTTCACTGGATTGTTGTTGCATGGTTCCCAATGACCAGATCCAACCACACTTGACTCAATGTAGTATCCAACCAACTCCTTGGCATCTGGAGGTTCTGTCCAAGTGACAACAACCGAGGTATCTGTATTTCTAGTTGGCATAATACGGCCAGGAGCTTTGGGAATATCTGGAGAGGGGAAGAGAAATAAAATAACGACCAATCAGTTAAAATTTATGAATAAAAAAAATAAGTTGGCTGTTCTGTTCTTGACTGTGCTACCACAAAACTCTTAACAACACTGATCTCATGCTGCCTGACTTATATAAAATTCAAGTCTTAAGTTTATAAACTCTTTCCTGTTTATAGCTATATCACCAAGTAACCTAGCGGGACCAGCAGGTTCAGGGCAGTGCGTTACTGAGGGCATTTTTTTCAGATTATATTTAGTCTTAGATTCCCTGCACTGAATGTCTCCACCAGAGATGTGATTTGGAGCTTTCTAAAGGACAGAAGTTTTAGTTGCATATTGAAAGATGTTGTACAGCCTGCAGAGTGAGTCAGAACCCAGTGTTCCCTTTGAGTACTGAAATGAATCTAGCGTTTTTCAAGAAAAGCTCTGTTTTACTCTCCCAAATCATGCACATCAAACTGCTCTGAGAACTGAAGCAATATGAAGTAAACAGAGACAATCTGGGCATTTGTTTCAAATCTGTGTTACTGTTCTGAACCAGATTGCTAAGTAAACACAGCTACTGATGCTCTCCTCTGATGAACATATTGGATTTTCTTCCAGCAGAAGTACTCTCTATATCCATATAAGTATTAAATTCTACACTTTCGCTTAATTTGGAAAACAAGGCAGATTAAACTCTTGTATGTCTGGGTCTTATTTTCAGTAAAGCCTCCAAGTAAAACAAAACATTTCTGTAATTCCAGGAGCTTTCATTTTCTTTCATTATTTGCTGCCTTTGCAGTTCTTGGCATCATTATTTGCAGTTTAATTTCCTTGGTTTGAATCTGCCGTATAACTATACATTAAAGGTTTAGCAAACCAAGCCAACACTATCTTGATTAAAAGGAATAAATCATCAACTACTGTTTGCACTTGGTTTAGTTATTGAACAGCTGTATGTCTTCGATGAGAACAGTTACAAACTGAAAAGATAGCATGGAGATCAAATTGGAGCTAATAGGACCACACACTTACCAAGTTTGTCATCCACCACAGTAGCTTCGGTTGCTTCTGAAGGCTCACCAATTCCAGCAGAATTGCAACAGCGAACCCGGAAGCAGTAGGATTTGCCTTCAGCCAAATCAAAAACTGCAAAGCGAGGAGACTTGACGGGGATCTCTGTGTTCACTCTTTGCCAGTTCTCTGTGCCAGCAACACACTGCAATCAAACCAAGAAAGCACCTTTGCAATGAAGTTCTTTGAAAGACAGAGGAAAGTTGAGGATCTAACCTGACAGAGCTTTCCACCTGGACACATCTGCTATGAGAACAGGCACTCACGTTCCTTTTTCTCGCTGTTCCACCAAACGCATGAATTTCAAAGCTTATAATGATTCAGCTAGATGACTGCCTACTTCAGAAAACATACATAGCAAGCTTACCATTTTTAATATACCAAAGCTAAGCTTCTTTCCATACCTAGGATGTGATATTATTATTATTAGAATAGTTTTGAATCTAGGGCGACTTTCAAAAGAAGTTCTGCAGACATTTAGCATCATCCAAAGAAGCTCTAACAGGACTACCTTGCTTCCAGATGCTCTCATGACACTCCTGAGAATCTTTTTGGAGTGGCTTCCAAAATTAATAAGGATTTGGCTTCTTTTTGCAGAAAAAAGTGCATTTAATTTATTAATTGTATTTGTTGCTGTGGTTAGAAGTTCTGCATGTGGTGGTCACTTATGCTATTAAGATGAGTGATACATTTGTTTCCCGCATATCTTATGTTAAAAATAATTTCAAATAATGGGTCCTTGTTTCGGAGAGTTTGATTGTTCATGGAAACATCCAAACATATGACAGCAGTGCTGAGTAAAGCTAGGTTATTAAAAATCTTTCTTATATGGAAGCTCAGAATTTATATTTCAACCTCTTTAAGTCTGTTGCTAGGTGAAACTCATTATTTAGACCAGATTTCACAAGACATAAAAACATGCAATGTTAAGATATTTATGTCTCCCAGGATGACACCTCTAGATTGATACAGAAAAAATATGACATAGAAGTTTGTGGGAGCCATGAGATACTAGTAAAAAAGGTGGTACTGAAGACTATTCTAGATCAGCAGCCATAAGAAGGCGGCTCAGAAAAGCAGGACATTGAAATTAAAACTGATTCTGTTCCAGAAAAGAAATTTTGTGTCAGCTTTGCTGATCTGGTGAAGTAGATGGAGGATAAACATGAGAAGCAGCTCAAGAAGAAAGAGCCGACACCAAGAAAGTCTCTGGAAGAGTGCCAGTTAGTCTGTCTCACAAGACAAGTTTCATTTATTCAAATGATATATATATACGTAACTGTGACTTTGCCCTGTGCTTTCTCATCATAGAGCTTACCAGCCTGTCTACCTAATGGCAGACCTATGGCACAATTCAAGAATGGATATTATTGTGAGACACATTCTGCATTCACTTTCCTATTTCCCTTTTTTCTTTTCTTCCTAGTGCATCACGATCTAAAGTAACAGTCATCTTGATGAAGTGTACAAGTTCTAGTCTTAGCTCTAGTTTGAAAGTCTCATCCAGTTACAAACTTTTGCTCAAGATAGCAAAGCAAATGTGAAAGACTGCCATTACATGATTATGATTTTCTCGCATTTTACCTTTTCCACAAAGTACATAATACCCTCATGGCCCCTCTGTCCAGGAGGTTTCCAGCTAAGCACAACATAGTTCTTGGTGGCTTCAATAACTTGGAGGTCTGTAGGTGGACCAGGAACAACACCCTCTGAACAGGGGAGAAAAGTAGAAAAAGGAATCAAGTTTTCATTCTTTCATATTTGTGTCAGAATTAGGCCTATAATTTTACTGTAATTAAAGCACAGAACAACTATACATATGCCTTAGCATCTATTTTCACTAGACATATATAAAATTCCAGAGTTAGAAGTCATCTCAATACTAGGTTTAAATCTTCTCGTTTTAACTATAAGCATGTCTGTTTATTTGGTCCTGAATAGTGAGACATCACCTTGACAACAAAGTTTGGAGTTGTTAAAGGTCAAGTGACTCTAGGAACAACAAACTCTGGGTGTGTGCCAAAGCCCACTGAATTCACTGGGAGTTAACCTGTTTTTTTTGCCCATCGGCTTCTCATCAGATTTTTGAAGGCAAAGGGATGTGTTTACCTGCAGGTTCTTCCTCAGTGACAATAATCTGTCCAGTCCAGGGAGCCGAAGGGTGACCTTAAACAGATGTCAGAGATATCATAAAAATGAGAGGCACCAGGAACAGTTCAAGTAACTGGAAAATTGACTCTTTCATAGTTTAAAACTAGGACATTAACTCAATTTTTGGTCTCTGCTGTGACTGTTGCTCATGTAGAGATGCCCAGGATAGATTCAGGGTGACTACATTGAATATTGAAAACAGTTTAGCAGTCAATATAGGTGGAAAATTTTGACCCATTCAGATATATATTCCATGCTAAAATGTCACTGAAATCACTTAGATCATAGACACAAGCATTCAGCTTACTCAATTCAGGATTTTTAGAAAATCAAACTATTTTCTGCATTCTATTAACATTTAGCAGCTCACTTGGTAGAAGGACTACCAAGTTCCTGCAGGTTGGTCTTTGTGTTATCCCAATTTTCCTCATATTACCAAGTTTCAAAACATGGGTCATAGTCACAGAGATTACTCAGTGTGACTCAACATACCATATCAATTTGATGTGCTTCAGGTGACTCTCTCTGAGTGCCTTATGTAAGTAGGATGTAAAACCCCAGAATTATCACAGTTTTGTGCTGAGCTATTAACTCAGGTCAGAGCAGTTTCAGGGATAATTTGCTAACTGCTGTTCTCCTCCTCCACGTTTGCACCTTACATTGGCTGATCTGTTTCATAAACGCTAACAGAGAGGGATGAAGGTGGAGAGAAAAGCGGATCATGACAAAGAAGATATATGAAGGTGAAGAGGCCACCAAAACCAGGTTTCCCCTTCTGAGACAGCTTCCACATTTCCCACTAAATCAAAAAGCCTGGTGGCTTTGCATGCAGTTTAAACAAACAATCTCTTGACATCAGACCATTTTAAATTGTCAAACTGCAAAACCGAGTAGAAATAATTAGATTGTAGACATATGTTTTTGACATGTGGGTAGACAGGGATTTTGAAGCAACCTTTTAGTTAAAATTCTCACCAAAGCCTGTTTTTTCTGGGATATTGCCGGGTCACAGGAAAAAAAAAAAAAGTCCTTGACTTGCACAACACTAACTTTAGAGAGCTTGTGCTCAGTTCTCTGTTGGGCTTTCCCGGCATTTTATAGAGTTTAGTGCAAGCCTTTGATCGTCACAGAGGACAGAGGCAGCCACCCTTGTCTGGGGCACAGAGAGAGACTCTTCACAGAATCTGCTCGGCTGCTTTGTTATGTGAACAAAAGTGTGATCAAAAGCCACTCTCTCCCCTGCGCCTTTCCCCATGTTCCTGTGAGCGCAGCGCTGCCCTCAGCCAATGCACTGGAGCTTTGGGCAAAGAGCAGAGACCACCTCCCCTTGGCAAGCCTGGCTCCAAAGACTGTTTTGTTTTGGTCTTGCTCCCTCTAGTGGGATTTCGAAGGCTTATGAGTAAACAGTCATGAATTTTTCATCGGTTACAATTTCTGAAAATGTTTAAAAAAGAAAAAAAAAGGAATAGATTAAAAAAAAAAAAAGGAACATCTCATACTTCTAAGCCTGGCTCTGTCAGCAGGATCCAGCGCAGCCACGGGCTCGGACACCCGGGATGGAAGGCTGATGCCGACTTTGTTCACAGCTCGCACTCGGAAAATATAGGAGCGGCCTTCAATGAGGCCAGTGACAGGAAACCGAGCAAACTTCACCGGAGTCTCATTGCACTGGGTCCAGTGGGTGGTGCCAACCTCACATCTGAGAAAACACAAACAGCAAGAGTAGTACAGGGAAGGAAAAAATGCAAACTGAGGCTACCCTCCCTGTTACAGTTTCACCATCTGTTCACATCCATTTGCTCAATCATACTAGTTTCCGCAGCAGTGTTGTATACTGGTGACAGCAAAGCAGCTGCACGAAGGGGTCAGGGCTGAAGTACCATGTGGGAATGCACTAAATCCCTTGCAGCTGAGCTCCTTCTTGCCTGAATCGAGGAAGAAACCTAAAGCTATTCATGAGCAAAACTCACTTCACTGTTCAAACCCTTCAGCTATGCTGCGGGATCTATAGGGAGCATCAGGTTCAGCACATGCAGCCTCCAGCAGCCAGCTTGATCATCTTACATGCACAGTGCTCAGTGGGCTGCTTTACTGTAAATCTGGCAAAATAACAGGCTTCTCAGGGCATGGGAAGCTCTGCTGCGAGTTCAGTGCCCAAGCTGTTACCTACAAGGTTTCAGCCAGACCCCGCTTCAGATGCCACTTAGGCTGCCCAGGGACATTGAGGTTTGGCCACTAACCCTGGAGAAGTGGAGGTGGTCGGTGTCTCACTCCCGATAAGCCTCACAAACAGCTGTTTGGCTGGAGGAAGGGAAAACTAGCAGCAGCAGTGGCAGAGCTTTCAGCTTAGAGAAGCAGAAGGAGCCGTTGTAGGCAGCTTCCCAGTGCCGAGGAAGTGGTCAACATAAGCAAGAAGCAGGAGCTCAGGAAAGACTTTTTATTGTTTCTGAGATGTTTATTGAAGTTAATGTGTCAGTGCATACCTAGATTTCTTAGTATGTCTTAACATTCATTTTCTGAGAAATGTTGGCTCACCCAGGGCAGGTTTGTGGCTCAGACACCTGCTTCGGGTTAAGGATGCCTGAGTTTTGATTCTAGCTTTAGCAGACTACATGTACCACTTTAAGCAACTCAGTCACACTCCTAGGCACTTAGATGCTAGCCTAGTTGAAAACTTGAGTGCCTAAATATATTTGGTAGTATTTGACCCTTTGCACTTTCTTTAATGGATATCTTCTTTGCTATGTACTCTGAGGAAGGTAAGTGCTATCAAAACTATCTCGATAGCTGATGCACATAGAGAATTCAAGATTTGCCAATGGTCATGTGGGAAAATCTATAATAACCCAGAGATCAGATAGCATCTTCTTAAGTCTTACACTAGGAAAGCATGTTGGTTTGGGTAGGTGGATCTAAAGGTGTATTGTAGCTTAAACAATACAAAAGTTTTGTACGGTATTGTAGATACAAAGAAAAAGATGAGCCTTGCTCCAAAGAGACCACAAGACAAACTGAGTGTTGTTGCTGCAGGAGTAAAGAGTATGGCAGATAGTCTTTGAAGGAGTAAAGGAGGAAATTTTTTTTTAAAAAGGCAATAAGAACAAAAATAATGACTATTTTATCACAGATTTTTAAATGTGTCTTTAAGTTTTGGATTTACAAGGCTCAGCATGGATTTCTCAGTTTAGCATGCTCACTGACCTGTCAATGAAGTATCCAAGGATGGGGTTTCCTCCATCAACAGCTGGCTGCTTCCAGGAAACAATGACATAATCTTTGTTGGCATCTAGGCACTGCACATCCAGAGGAGCGCCAGGGGCGCCTGGGATTTCAGCATCAGCATCTGTCAGGGTGGAGACATGCATTTCCAAACGTGAACCACAGTTCTTCCACAATTACTCTTTAAGGACTACACTTTGTTCTTACTGAGCCAAAAAAAAAAGTTTCCGGCTTCAGAAAGCGTTTGTTTTTTTTCTCATCTATGTTTTTCTAGGTTTTGTTTTCTCTCTTATCAACATTTACAATATGCTCTAACACATGCTGTAATGTAATTGATATAGACATTTGAATAAAATTTGAAACATGCATTTTGATTAGGTAGATACCAGAGATACAGCTGAAGCAAAAATGAGGTAGACTGTGTTTACCTGCCATTCTAGTTAGAAGAACAGACTGACATTTTGCCTTGTAACCACACAATAGTTCAGTCAAAACTACTCAACCATATCACAGTCTTCTAAGAAATGCACTTCCCTTTTTTGACCTAACTGCTACATACTCCCATGAAAATACTGATTGACTAAAACTTCAAAAAACAGAGCATAGTGCCTGGCACAAGGGAATTGTTATCCAGCTCTGATTCATGAGACGAGAGTGGTATTCTTGTGGGGAAAAAATAGCCTTTGCAAGAAAATTATATCAAAGACTTTCAAAGAAGAGAGATTGTTTACCTACATATGAACATCAATTTGTACAATTATAAGTGTCATTTTCTAAGCTCTGTTGTGAGCTACTTCAAAAGAAACCCTATAATAGACAAGAAAGAAATGCAGACATAGAGGAAAATAATGTTTTGCTAGTAAACCTTGTTCTTACATTCTATCTAAAACTCAGTTCTTGTCGTGTTTGATGTTTCAGCACATTGCAGCATTTTCTATTATAGTATACAGTAAGTCCTGGTTTTTAAACTCCTGGTTTTCAGAAGAAATGCCTTACAAGCTTATTTAATATACTTAATTAAATAAAAAAGTGGTCTTCAGAAAAATCACTTTACTCTTTCATGGGCATGATAGCATGACATGGAGCTTTTGAAGCCATGTCAAAGTTACTGAGCATAGGTTCAAATTACAGCTAACTACGTATATTTTTAAAAAACTATAATTAACAAAGGAAGCAAGTAATTTTAAAATAAATTTTAAAATAAAATAGTGAAAAAGAACCTGTCTTTGGTGATCTCTGTACAAAAGGCTTTAATTGCCCATATTTACCACTTGACAGAACACGAGACCCCACAGTTTCTTTCCAAGTCAGACTGGAAAGTCGTGTGACAATCAGGGCTGCTCACAGGCTTCAGAGGGCTAGAATTTCATCCCTGGCTGCCTGCTGACAAATACTGACCTGTAGCCATGGCAGAAAAGTAACAAAGCTCTCTGCAAGCCTCACATTGTGAGCCTGGTTAGTGTGCTGCACCCCACTCTCTTCCCTCCATACCCCAGGATTCCTACTTGCTGCAGAAGGACAACGAGTGCATTTAAATACCATAGCTATCTGTTTGCAGCAGCTTTGCATACGTATCGAGAAAGGCAGTGAAGAATAAACTAACCCATGGGGACTGCAGGGAGCACATAAACAAAAGAGTGAGAAGGTAATTAATCTAATTAGAATTCGGCAAATCCACCAAATGGAAGATACTCTTGTGAAATGGACCATGGTTCACAATCAGTTCATTCCAGTATCACCAGGAGATGGAATAGGAACAAACCCCTTAATTTATTCTTTGGTAGCACAATTTAAAACAAAGCAAAATAGATAAGTCCTATTTTTTCCTCTCCTTATTACATAGTAACCAATGCTCATTTCCACAGACTCTTCCTTCAACTGATGAAACATCTGCTTCAGCAATGTTTCCTGAGCCTGCTGTTATCTGTGCCTCAGTGAGTCCTCCTGGACTTGGTAAACCAATGCCTCTGGGCATGTTCTGAGAGCCCAGAATATCCATTGTCTTTTGAATTAACATTACTTGTTTCAGCTGCTTTTAGCAGGTGGGGCAGATATAGAATGAGTACATAACCTGATAGCCAAGGCCCTTCTCAAAAATACATTCTCTCTAATAGAAATTTGAGGAAGTATTTCATGATACAAGGAAATAAAAAATTGAATCCCTACACTCAAATGACTCAGTGACAGCCTTGCTACTTTACTTCCATGTATCACAGAGTCATAGAAAGGTTTTCAGATCGGAAGGTTCCTCTGGACATCATCTAGTCCAGCCCCCCTGCTCAAAGCAGGGCCAATCAGACCAGGTTACTCAGGACCGTGTCCTACAAGTCTTGAATATCTCCACAAAGATAGAGATTCCACTGCCTCTCATCCTGTCACTGAGCACCATCAAGAAGAGTCTGGGCTCACCACCTTTACTCTTCCCTGTCAGGTATTTACACATCGATAAGATCCTCTTGAACCATCTCTTCTCCGAGTTGAACAGTCCCAACAGTCTCAGCCGTTCCTCATATGTCTGAACTTCCAAACCCTTAATCACCTTTGTGATTGCACCAGTATGCTCATGGCTTGCTCCAGTATGTTCATGTTTCTCTCACACTGGGGAGCTCAGCACCTGACACAGCCCTTCAGATGTGATCTCAGCAGTGCTGAGGAGAGGGGAAGCACCACCTCACTCAGCCTGCTGGCAAAGCTCTGCCTCGTGTGGTCGAGGATGCTACTGGCCATCTTTGCCCAAGAGTACATTGCTACCTCACATCCACCTTCGTGTCCACCAGGACCACTGGGTCATTTTCTGTCAAGCTGCTTTTCAGCCTGCTGTCCCCACCCTGTACTGGTACATGGGGCTATTCCTCCACAGCAGCAGGACTTTGCATTTTACTTCTATTGTATTTTTTCCTGTGTTTTGATCAAAAGAGTGGGTTTTGGCTAGTGTTGGGATGTTTACAAAAATACATTTCAAAGTTATTAGCTAGATTTTTCCTCGTGATGATTTGCCTTTAGTATTGCTCATGGGTTGAAACTGTGACAGGGATGTGATATTACAGCAATACCTCAAATTCCCTCCTCAGAATGTCAATATAGCTTAGAAGAAATCTTCCAGTATATGTGCCCCAGCTTCAGGTATGCATAATGCACATCCAAAGATAGCAACTTTCTATAATGCTAGAAAATAACTGTTGTTAGAAAATGATTTTTTTTTTTTTTTGGTTAGGAAAGACTGAGACTGATTTTGCCTGCAGTTTTTCCTCATTTCTCTACTGAGTCTGTTTGGTTCATAAGACACTATCCTACCTCGAACAAAGACATAGCCACTGTACTCCTCATAGTATTCTCCCATCACCACACGCAGAGTGTAAAGACCTTCATCCTCCTTGTTTGCATGAGTCAGTGTTAATGTAGCTCGCTCCCCACTCCAGTGCATCTGGACCCATTTAGATGGCGTAATAAGAACACCTAGAAATTAGAAAATTTTATCATGAGAACTGGTTGAATCTACAGTTCCTTCTAATGAATCTATTCTACAAAGTAATAGTTAGGAAATACAGAGGAATCAACACAACCTTCCATTTTCAAAGACAATCATAAATTATACTTAGTTCAGCTCTCATGCCGATGTTGTCTTCATTTGAAAATTCTGACTTCAGAAAGTAACGTTTTTTTTTAATCTATTGCACAACAGCTTTGTTCAATTACTATAAAAATGTCTTAGCATATGAATAAGCAGTAAAAGCTATACGGGCTATACAATTCGTGTCACATCAATTTTGAAGCTGACCAAAATGCTTTTACTTCTAAAATTTATAAAAGAAAAAAAAAAAGGAAGGGAAGCTGGAAGACATTTTCACAGTTTTCCTTCCCTCCATTTTTTAACTATGGAACTATTATTTTCACTTCAAAATGGAAATTTTGGAAAACTTTGAATTAGAAAAAACATTATCATTTAGAAGGCTGACAAAATGATGACCAATTCACAACATTCGCATATACCAAACTAAGTAAAGAAACTAAGCCAAAGAAGTTTATATTTTTTCTCATCAAGCATTCTCACCATTTCTGTACCATTCGATGTCTGGTTTGAAGCGCTTAATATCCGGATTGATGACAACTGTGCAACCCAGACTCATTGTCTCGCCTTCTCTCCCAAAGGTGACATCAAACTTGTCAACAAAACTGATTTCAAATCTGGAAGCAAACCCATGTGGGGTAACACCGACTGTAAGAAGGAAAAACGATCTGTCTGTTTACTTTTCCTCTTTTTGTAGGAATACTAGAAAGCAAAAGTACCCAATGTTTATGAATATAAACTCAGGTAAAATCTGAGTTGTAAAGAAAAGAATTAAAGGTAATTGCAATGTCAAATAATTCAATCTTAGCTAGTACAGAAAATCAACTAATTTCTTTAATCATACAGCTCTAGTTCTTACCATGAGTTAATTTTAGGAAGAAGGACTGCTCCATAATTTTATTACAGATTTTTTTCAGAATTTCAGATCCAGCATTTTATTATTTGGTTACATGAATTATTTTATAATTTTAAAATACTTCTTTCTTTTTCTGCTGAACTCCTTACTACATCTCAAGATACTCATTTTGATAGCATAAATAAGTCTTTTTTGGACTCTTTATGTAAAATGAGACCTCTGTTTACCTAGAAATTTGGGTACCTGCTCCTACTGAAATAGTTTATCTTTCCTGCTGTTGTATGACCTGAGATGTGCATATTGCAAATGGATTTTATAAGTACTTCATGCTTTTTCTTCACACACATGGTACAGGTGCTTCTCTAATTGTTTTGAAAATACCTCAGCTGATAAAACCTAAGGTCACATATTTTACCCCCGCAACCCTCTTACACTGGTAACCCACAGTTTTCCTATGATCAGTGAATATATAGCTCTTCCTCTTCCTTTTCCATTACCAAATCTCAAATTATATTGGAAGTTCTTGGCCTACCATTCAGTAATATTTTGTATAATTTCATTTCCGTTATTTCAGAACATCAGTATCAGTGAATTTGCAGCATGTCCCTCATTCTATTTGTGTTACTACAATTTAAAAAGATGTCCATAAGGCTCTTAGTTCAAGCCTTCCATGCAAGGACCCCATGGTACCTAACAGACATGTTGTATGTAGGTGGGTGGATTTTCTTAACACTTATGATTATGAAAGTGTTTATGCAATGTTGTAAATGAGTTCAAAACGTGAGGCCAGTTTCTCAAGTAAAACCAAATTCCAATTTCTACATTGATATGCCCAAATTTAAAATTCTGGAGATCTTTGTTATGCATCTTCACAACATATTGAATCACATAGACAGGAACTAGTAAGTCATCTAGTCTACTCACAAACACGCACCCCCGCCCCCAGCTCTTTTATCCAGGCTATATTTTACATTTTGCAGACGGTCCCTCTGCTCCTTCAGCAGGTTTTATTCCAGAGCCACACCAATATTAAAAGGACTGTCACAAAATATTCTCTCGATTTTCATCCCCCTGCCAAAGCTGGAATAGTGGATGTTTCTTATACAAGCAAATACAAGTAGCCGCACACCCAGAAGATAATGCTATTTGCACTTATAGATAAGGCTGAAAACATCCACAGTAATAGAACTCAATACCTTTGCAAATGATACCTGTTTTCTTTTTTAAATAAAGTTACAAAATATTCTGCTTAGTCATTTGACATGATGTTACAATTGTAAATAAATGTCAAACAAACAACTTACAGCCCATAGGCATAGTAACAGTTCCAGGGTGTAAAAGACTTGCATCAATTTCTCCTTTGTATCCTAGATGCACATATAAAAACAGAGAAACTATTACCTGAAAGTAAAAGCACTCCAAGCCACAAAAAATGAAACCGGTAACATACATCTTACAAAAAAAAAAAACAAAAGAAAAAAAAAGTTTTGCAAACCTACTCTTTACCACAAGGGACGCGTAAGCTGAAATTTCTCCTTTAACATTCATAGCAGAAGCATGATACTGAGCAGTGTCTTCAAAATCACATCTAAAATGACATAAATAATTAAGCAGAGCATCCATTACTGTTTGGCATTCCTAGAACCTATGTTTAAGGTCCAAGAAAAAGAAGTATTAAATCTACAAAGAAGCAGAAATTGGGAGTCAAACACACTGGACACTGAACTGACTGTACTCATTAAGTTTTTCTCAGTGTTAAAAATCAAGTGTTTTAAAAAATAACTCTTTTCAAATATCACTGATCTGAAATTGAAATATAGAGGAAGTAGGACAAGATGTCTGATTATATTTATGTTTAAATCATCATCTTGGAATCCAGGAGGATGTAGGTAGCGAAGACAAAGCTGATTGTCCAAAATTACATGATTATGTCTCAGGATTTCTATGGTTCTTAATGCAAGTGACTGCAAATTTTCCCAAATGGAGGATAAAAATAAATACTGCTAAAAATCCTTCTTGTGTGAGGTCTCCTCAATTCTGTTCATAATCTCAGTAAGCACCAGCAACTTTGCCCAATTTGAAAAATAGTTATTTTATATATTTTTAGCCTAAACTAGATGTTTCTCATGTTTAACAGCACATATAGAGGAGGAGAAAAATAGGAAAAGTAACCACAACCATCTCACACGTTTCTGATTCATTCATAGTTAGAATAATGCACATAAACTACTCTGGTAAATTGCTCGTCCTCTATTGATGAAAACCAGAACGGCTTCAACATTTTGTAGACAGCATTCTCTGCTGCACAGACTTAATAACTCTTACCCTTACATCCCCAAGAGATATGTACGTAGTTTACAGGTCTCAATCTATACCAACATTTCAGCTTAAGTTATTTGCTAAATTAGCCAGTATTCCCTTACGTGCTAATCTCCAGTGAGTGAAGCCCATATCGATTTTCAATTATATACTTGTCAGGGTGGGCTTGTACATTGATGGGCACATTGTTTTTGTACCTATGGAGAAACAAAGCAATATGTCACAAACAGAAACACAGATTCATACACTTTAGTAGGTCAAGTTATGGTGTTTGGAATATAATATCATCTTCTGCAGGTTTCTCTTAAATTAACTGTAGTCTAATACCTGGGAAATACATCACATATCTTTGGAAGCCTAACTTCTCTCTCACTTGTCTCTTCTCCCTGCTTCAGAGGAGTTTTATTTTCTGGTTTAAAGAAAGAATAGGCTTGAGCAGTGAAAACTAGTTTATAATACCATGACTTATTCCTTGCGACTATTCCTTGTCTAGGAATGGAAGAATCACATGAGCAACATTTCAGAGCTCTGTCAATCAACAACAATAAAAATTATATCACATTTTTACTCACCAGGTATTTTGCATATTTTTTTGGCTTGCACATTCAATCTACTTTTAAAACCTTCATATGCACAAAAATATCAGTAGGGAATTAAGTTTGAGTCTCACAGAGGGAGAATTCAGTAGTGCAAAGCAGTTTTTTCTCACAAATCATTGCCCAGAAGGCCGTTAATTCTGAACAACAGATGGTGTTATTAAATAACGGATCAAATGAAATCTGTCATAAATGAACACTAATGATACAGAACCATCGGTGATAGGTTGACAATGGAAGTCTAATAAAATTAAAAAACAGAATTGTATTTGGTACATTTGTGATTGAATTGAAGAGTTCTGTAAGGACAAAGGCTCCCTAAGACAGACAGCTTTCCTTGTGCTGCTCGAGGTGTATATATTAGGGAGTCAAAAGATAAATGACTATAGATGGACATGTCTTTATCTCTTACTTGGGAGTAGTTTAACTAGGTCTTTCTTTTCATGAGCCATAATAGATATCCATCCTTAAATGTCAGTTTCCCTCAGGATTTTCCATCAGGGAAGGGAACGGGTCTGATATCAGTGGTATACCCTATTTTACCAACCAGAGAGTAATACGCAACTTTATTTTTGTGAAGGATATTGTTAAGTTAATATAGCTCAAGATAAACCTATAATTGCAATAAATCTGAAAATTGCCTTTCAGTACTTTCAATATTTCCTGCCATTGGTAATAAACAATATTTCCCTTGTTGTTTTTAGGTATAGTAATGCACTGGGATTTTTCAAAATGCCGAAGTGAGTGAAGATCATAATCCCTAATTAAGAAGTCTGTAAAAAGGGACTTACTACAATGCAATACCCTCTTCTCCACACTTCAAAGAGCAGCAAAGTTTCTTGTCCCCTTTACAGATCTCCTTGCTCTATCCTGACACAACAAATAACAATACGTAGGTCAACTAAGAGTAAACCTATTACCACCACTCTCACATATTCCATGAGATAGTGCTTCCTAGACTGATCTGCCTGGAAACATCTATGCATCTTTATATTCCATGTGCTGTGCCAAACGGTTTAAAAAATAGAATAAAGTCATCAGACCTTAATGTTTTTTTCCAGGAACATGATTATGTGTGTTCAGTCTCTGACCTGCTCTGTGAAACAGAACGGCGTTGGGCGCTCTCTGATCCTGGTGGCAGCAAGAACGCTTGTTTGCGTGCAGAGCTGTGCAGAATCAAGCTTCAGCTGAGCTAGGTCAGTATAAGAAGACTTTCACTTCCTCTGTCTTCATTATCAGATTATGAAAATATAGCTGTTACGGTTTTCACTTGTTTATATTAATATACGAAAAAAATATGGCTCGTGCTAGAAGGACCACTTGTTATTTCTGGAAAGACAGATTCCAGTACGGCCACATCATTAGCTAATGTTGGACTGCAACCTCTCAGTGTCATTATGCACTAAGAGTTTATGCTTTCTGCTACTGGTTTCAAATGTCATAAGTTTTTTGCAGGGCTTTTTTTTTCCCACCCTGCCGGGGAATAAGAACAACTGTATCACACTGCAAGACTTTCTTCAGAGAAAGTGCATGAGATTTATAATTTATTATTGACAGCATGAAGAGGTTTTCATTGCTTATACAAAAAAAAAGAATGACTATTTGGAATTCATGAGGGACATTAAGTTAGAAATTCTGAATGAACACTGATTGATTCAGGCCAGTGCTATTTTGTATCCTTGAGCAAAGCCACCTGTTAAAAATGGCTATGAACTCATTTTTTCCCATTAGTAGCCTAGGGCAAACTAAAGTCCTCCTGGAATTCACATGCACAGTAAAATATTGTGCTAAATTTCACCACCCCAATTTAGTACTTAGTTAAAAGGCTGGTTGACTTCAGTAAGAGCAAAGGTAAATAGCTGAAGGCTTGATTTAACCATGTCAGGTTTTTGGGATAAGGTGAATCTCAAAGTGAAAATGGTTCAAATCTTGTTTTTTTTTTGGTTCAGATACAGTTATAGTTACAGCTATGGGATACAGTTGGGTTACAGCTATGAGTGTGGATCCTAAGCTGACCATTCATTATGTTCAACAGATAAAAGATCTGAAACATTTGTCTCGAATCCTTGCTGAGATGAATGTCACAGCTGAGCATTTACAGTTCTTTCTTACAGAATTGGAAAAATGTATCCATACAGAGCTTGACTTTTCGTGTTTCAAGTTAAAGAGAAGAGACTTCTGGGCATCAAGTATGGCCTATTAATGTATTTTTTGTTCAAGCACTCATATTAAGGTCTTATAGGTATCAGAAAAACAGAATCTATTAAGTAATTCAAATAGTAAAATAAAATATTAATATATGAATATTAATTAACATCATGATATAATAGATATTTTCTGTTGTCTCTACAAATCTGGGTACTAATAATTTATAATCAACAATTAATGCTTAGTGCTATATCTAGACTTATTCCAGTTGTTTTATATATGCATTGTAGAAGACTTTTAGATAAAACGATGAATATCAAATTCATTTCACATTTGAAAAAAGTTATTAACTATTATCTAATATATCTGTAAAAAATAAATAAGAAAGAGCAACCCAGTAGATAATGAGACAGTAAAGTTTTAAAAGACAGTTGTAATTAAGCTAATTAAATTACAAGCATGACAAACTTTAACCCCAGACCCAAGTTAGATTTCCAGCTCTGTCCAGTAGTTTATTTGAGGGTCTTACAATACAGACTTGGTCCAAAGATAATTCCAAGCAATAGAAAAATTCCAATAAACTCCAGAGCTTTCTGTAGACTTGGATGGCCCTAAATCTATCCACAGCCTTTAAGTTCAAATTTGATGTGGTCCCTGTAAATATCCTGTATCATGAAATTTTAATTCCACCGAGATTCAGTACTTTTAACTGCTCAGCTGCTACACAACACGGAAGCTTTTAGAAACCATCCTCTCAAAGATAGCACGGTGGATATGTTTAACTGCTATTTTTACCTCTTCAGAGCACAGAAAGAATTTTTTGGATGTCTTCAAACATGTCTTCAAACAAGTGTGGTGACTTTATATCTTTACTGAAGAAATACCTCATTCCCTAAGATGAGTTTGGATATTGGTTATATGATGGCTTTCAATGACAGCAATACAAACCTACCATGTAACACGGGGTTCTGGCCAGCCAGCCACGGTGCAATGAAATTTGACACTTTGCTTTTCCCAGATAGTGTGAGAACGAGGCTTGATAATAAACTCAGGAGCATGTAAAAGTTTATCTTGATTCAACTTTTTGTGGAATGCCTGAGTATCTTCTAACTGGAAAAGAAACATTTCGTCATAAACCTCAGTCTATAGAAGTGCAAATCATCCATATTCAAAAGCATTTTTGGAATTTTTTTAAGAGCAGAAAAAAATGTATTTATTTTAAAATTGAGATATATTTAAGGTATTTATCTCATTTGAAGCCATGAAACAATATTATTCATCTTCAAGATATTCTCCTTTCAAAATAATTTG